CTCCATCTCCACATATGGGCAGGGACCAAGGATCGCATTTCAAGATCGACTTACAAAGAGTGGGCAGAACATACCCTAACAGTCTACTCCCTAAATTTCTAAGTATCATAGAGCTCTTTATTAAATAACTCATAACTGCTCAGTGGCTTATTTCAAGTCAAGGATACACTTAAACAAGAGGCAAAGATGAGAAAATTCTGGCCCACATTTTCTTACAAATTAAACTCTCTCCTTGACTTATTATTATTAGGATTTTACTATTTAATAAAAGGAAGACTGTTCTGTCTGCTAATGCTTTCCTCAGTAAAACGTGGTATTCAACACCCCAAAGCTAAATGTGACCCTATTATGACTTTTTCATAAAATGGTGGGAGGAGTTGTTTGGCATCTGCAAATGACTTCTAACTAGGACACTGGGGTGTCCACATGAGGGAGCCTACAAAAGTGAGCTGGAGGAATGTGGCCACAAAGTAAGACAGTTGATCTAAATAATCAGCTCTACTATCTATCTACATATCATGAAGGAACTATTAATAAGGCCAAGAGGAAAATGTTTTCATATCTACAGTGGTTTGTGATAGTTTTAAGTCACAGGTTTTTGCATACTTCAAACAATGAGGTACTGAACCTTACTTTTCTACAGCAGATCGTTTCTGGGATTTTGATTGATAATTTAATGCCATCTTGGTTTCCATGCCCGTGTAAATAGCAACACCTATAAAGCAAAAAATTAACTGTCAGAACAATTAATTGTCAGAACAATTAATTACTGTATGAATTCTTTCATGGATTAACTTTATGTCTCTGAGTCAAAATTATAGGCATTTAATATGCAAGCAATATTCTCAGATGCCATTACTTTATGGATTGTGGTTATACATCAATATTGGTTTTCTTAGTGAGGCAGAATTATCACTGCCATGAAGCCACAGTACCTCAAAGCACAAAAGAGGCTTTCATGGTACCACTATGGATTTTAACTACTTAATGTACCTTTAATTTTAGAGGCTGTTATTAATAATTCACTAATTAAAACACTTACCAAATATTTTCTCGGTGTTCTTTAGCGTGGCTCCTCTAAGAAGCAAGTTTTCCGATCCTAATGGCCTGCAAAGATAAGAATGACCAGAAACAAGGCAATAGAGAAATCAGAGGGAGACCTGCTACGAGGTGGAAATCAATTCATTTGCCTAAGAGGATTCATTTTATGAGGAAATTGTCTAAATATAGATTTGCTTATATTTAGATTAGAAAATTTAGCCTGGGTCCATGTAAAAGTGTGTAGCCTTTGCCTGTGGGAGGATAAGAACCTGCCCTGCTTCAAGAAATCTGCAGAATTCTAGCTTTGCGAGCATCTGCTACTCGGTACAGCACCTGTTAGGAACACAGGCTTCCGGCCCCACCCCAGACATGCTGAGCCAGATCTGAAGATTTCAACAATATTCCATTAGCGGTCGCTCATGAGGGCGGTGGGCTGACAAGTGGGGTCCCTGCACCAGTGCCATCAGCAGCACCTGGAAACTTATCCGAAGTGTCACCTTGACAGACTGAACCAGAAACCCACTCCTAACAGGCCTCAAGTTTGAGGACTGCTGGACTGGCAGAACCCCAAATGTTCTGGGAAATTGAAAGGGTTGGTGTCTGTGACTCATGTGGATTTGGCTGTTTCTATCACATCCTCAGGGAATCTCAGTGCATCTCACGTACTATAGTCATACTTTAAAAATGAAGGCTGGGACACTCTGTGTACATTTATAAACACTGGCTGTCAAGTCCACAAAGACCCTCTGAATGTAGGTGGCCCATACTTCTGGAACAATCCATGCATTGCTACTTTTGGGGGGAACAGGAAACAGACAAAAAGTTTTTAAATCATTCATGTAAGAACAAGCATTGCCCTAAGCATTCAACACTCAATAGAGAGCAAAAGACAAAATCTCTGCCTTTAAGGGATTCATGTTCTAGTAGTTCTCTTTGTTTATGGAGTAATAATTTATTCTCATTTCCCAAGAGTAAAAGAAAAATAAGAAGCAGAATTCAACTTTACAAATTTGCTATTTTTGGCATTCTAATGATTTTCTTTGGAAGGGAAAAGGAAAGAGTTGAAAGTATTTACTAAAGTTTGCTTTTTTCTGTCTGTGTATTATGGGATGTTGAGAACCTACTGAATGCTACAAACTTAAGCTTTGTTCAGTACATTTAGCTGATACAGCTTAGGACTGTGCCCAGCTAAAGATGAGAAAGAGGGGTGCTGCTCAGGGCAGGGAGTTGCTGGGGACACACCTGACCTGACGTGTCTGCCCGGGGCTGTCCAACGGTCTCGACACTCATCCCTCAGCCTGACAGCCATGAATGACGGAGCTCCCGGGGCCGCACAATTGCTGTCTGGTTGTGTTATAAGTACTGTCAGCCTCTGTGAGCAGCACTCCTACCATAATTCATGTCGAATGTGTTTACGAAAACAAATGGCCCCTTTAAAAAAAAAGTGGCTCTGGGAAGTCTAAAAATAATTTACTTAAAAAAGTACATTGCTTCTAGTTTGGACAGGAAGACAAAGAAATATCACCCTGAATGGATTAAGAACTTGGACATATAATTTATAACGGTCCACACTATGAATTTATAAACATCTTTAAATACCCAAATAGTAAACAGCTGAACAGTATAAATATTCAAAAAGCAACACTAGAATTTCTATCAAAATACAAACTATATTAATAATTATCTTCCCAAGCTGCTCAACATTAAACTTTGTCTAAATATAAAGCGTGGAAAGCCTTCAATGTTTACTTTTTTGGATTCATCCCATCAGCAATATGAATAAATCTAAATCTATTTACTCATTCAAACACTAATTCTCACAAGACACAGAAATACAGGTTATTTCTCCAAAGTAACTAGGAATTACTTGCTGACTAATATGTATTTAGGAAAGACCATGGCAATACCTCCACAAATTCTGAAAAGCACCTATAGCTGATGGATAATGATAACAAAATCATATTCGGAAGTCCACAATTTCCTGAAAATAAATCATTTCAGGAGCCTTACAAGGAGACAAGCCGTAGGGACTTATATTTCAGTAACTATTTTGCAGCAATTTCTCATTAAGTTTATTTCTACTTCTGGGAAACTGTGGTTTTTTGTTTTGTTTTGTTGTCTGTTTATTTTTAACAAACAAAGTAATATCAGGATATTGGCAATTTGGAGACTGATTAAATTGGAAGAAAAAGTCTCTGACAGTGGGTTTACAAAAAAAGTCAACTTCGAAACCTGCTTAAAGTCAATTTCCTATAGATCTTGAATACTTTGGCAGCAAAGAACTACTGGGATCTTGAAACAATGTGCAGATAAAACATCTGGAGGTCCAGGGAAGCAGATGCAGCACAGACCCAGGGAGCTGTGGGCCGGATGATAGTACATCACACTTGTCCTGACCACTTGCTGGTTTTGGGGCACTGCTACCTCAGGGCCTCAGAGTTAGATATCTGATGGGATACGATGAAAATATTCCTTGTCAACACTGCCTGGGTGTGACCAAACTGAGATTGCTATAATGATGAGGGTGAGCACACCTACCTGTGACCTACACCGGTCACAGCCAATGCCTGGGCAACAGGTTCCTATGTCCCTAGGTGGATGTGAGCCTATAACAGGCCCTTGTGAGGCACATCCCCTTAAATCTAGATGAAATCTAGAGCCGAAAATGTGTCCCAGTAATAATTATGAGTAGATTCATACATTCCAACAAAATGGACTCCAAGTCTGAAATCTTTCAACTTCATAGTTGAAGACATACTAGTCTATAAATTATGAAAGAGTATTTCTAATGGGGGAAACCACATCCTCTACTTTGCCTTGGAACCGTTAGATGGGCTTGTGACATTTCTCTGCTGTGAGAAGACCCGCAGCAACATCTTGTGAGAGAACATTTTCCATGAACGTCATTAGTTTGTTAACATGTACAGCTGTATACACAAGAGAAACCAAAAAATGCTACAACCTAGACCTCTGGTCAAGTTGAATTCTACTTTCAAAACCCAACAGAACAGCAACAATGAAAATCTCTTATCGGTAAAAAAAATTCACTTTTAATTTAATAATTAAGAGATAAAAATGGCCAAAAGTGTCTGAAAGAAGCACATCACCTCACCTCACCACGGGGTCATTCTGATCATTGTAAACATTTATGCGGCCCACAAACCTGGCAACAGAAAAGTCAGGTTATTGGCATGACAACAATGGGAGAGGCAGACAGGAAGTGCCCTGTCCTACACACCCACCTTCCTGTTTCTAAGGAAGAAGGAGATGCGTGCTCACAACCTGGGATTCTTTATTCAAGAGCATGTTAGTATGTGGCTAAACCACTCTACCTTCCTTCCTCTTTCTTCCTTTACTTTCTGTTCTTAGCAACCCATGACCTAAATGATTTTCCTTAAAATCACTTCCTCAAAATACAGAAAATTATTTTTCTTCAATAAATTTAGGCCCATTAAACCACTTCAAAAGTTTGAATAGATAGCTATAGAATTAAATGTTGCTGGATTGTGAAAATACATAAGTAACATCTTTTGGACTCAGTCTTAACTTTTAAGCAGGTATTTACAATCTCTTCCAAAAGCAACCATGCAGCTAGATTATTTGGGGTGGACAGCAAGAACAATGTTTAGGGGATAAAGAGATAGTCCTGGGGAACACAGATCTGGCTTACTTGTAGAGGTCGGGCTGGGGCTGCTCACACTCAATGGTAGCGTGGAGGCCATCTATATCTTCTTCAGTATGAAATCCCTTTGTGTCTTGAACTGCATAATGTGTCTACAGATTGACAAGAAATGTGAATTCACAACAATATAAGCAACACAAATCTAGCAGCCACTGCCTCTAATCCTAAGCAACACTGACATCTAATTTTTTTGTGCATAGAAATAAGCCTGGTTACAAAACTTGGTTAGCATAGAGAGAAGCTGTATAATAGTTTGAAAATGTTAAAAAGTTATAGATTTATAGGTTACTACTGTCATTCCTATAGCTATTAGGTGCCAGAAAGTTCTCCCATTCTTACCTCGTATCCTCAACTTAAAACTAATAGCAATGCTGAGAATTCTTCTTCAGAACTGGATACTTCGATTTATCTATCATGATTGTAACTATCAACTAGGAAACAAATTTATTCCTTTTTGTTTCTACAACGCCCTATCGTTTATAGAAAACTGGCATCAGCATCACGAACTGCCCTTGCCGACACTGGTTAGGGAGTGTAAGCTTTCTGCATAGCTACTCATTTGGCCTCAACCCACGGGCTCCTCAAGCCTGAGTGTTCATCAGGATCCCATCCAGGGCCTGTAGGGCACTGACCCCTGGGTCCCACCTGGGATCATGTTAGAAATGCAATTCTCAGGCTCCAGTCCAGAGTTTCTGATGCTGCGAGTCTGGGGTGGGGGCCTGAGAACTGCATTTCTAACATGATCCCAGGTGATGCCTATGCTACTAGTCTGGGACCCCATTCAGAGAACACTGGCCCAGATGATATCGGTAACCATGAACAGCTCAGCTTGCCTTGGGAGATAAGAGGAAAGAAACACTCGTGCATGAGGGCCTAGTGAAGGAGAACACATCTCTAAGTCTCCTCTTATCTTTGCTGTTGGACAAGTTAAGTGTGTAATAAATCAAAACAAATAGATATAATCACAGTAGCAGCAGCAGTAGCATTTATAACATTTTGGGGGCATTTATTGTGTAGCGAGCACTTTGGGAAATGTTCTAATTATACCCTCACAAGAGTTCCTGGAAGAGGAAAGGTTTGCCCACATTTTACAGATGCGAAATGTCTGCTCACAGCCACATGAGCAACGAATGTGGCTAGTGCAGGAGTCTCACTCTCTCACTCTCCTTTTAAGGAAAGGCCCCGGATCGATCTAGCCCCCAAGCCAAACCAAATACACAGTAACGACTTCAGAGGGCACACATTTAAGATGCTGAGCACGACACAAGAAAGGTTGAAATGGAACATGAATTCTAATATCTGCCAGTTCTGGACTAAGGAGACTGCCATAAAATTTCACCCTGAAAAAAGTGATCCACCTGGAGGCCTCCAGCATCTGTTCACTAGCGATGCTGGGATGTGTGTGAGCAGCGACATCCCTCCCATGGGACAGAGTGCAGAGGGCAGCCCACTGCCAACAATGAGAGTGTGTGTGGCTCTATTTATTTTGATTTATTACATACTTTATTTGAGAGAAAGATAAGAGGAGATTGAGAGATGTTTACTGTCAGGAAGGACGGGAACATAACCTCCCCACACTCCAGAGACCAGCAGCAGGTTACAATGAACACCTGACAACCAACCCAGGGATTTCCATTCCCAGAATTACTGTTGCTTACAATTATGCCAGCATGTTAACTCTCTTGGGACATGCTACATAGAAAATGTGAAAATAAATGCCGAAAAAAGACCCACAAGGACTTTATACAATGACATCATGAATTATCCATTAAAGATGAGCATATCTTTTAATGTTTTTGCAAAGAAAATTTCTCTTTCCCGTTCTAGAAATTGCCTATATCCACAGGTATTGCTCGAGCACCGTTTCAGAGTTGCAGTCTTGTTAGCTAATGCCTTAGAAATGGTTGAATCCACTGAGACATGCTCACTTTTAGAAAATCCTTGGAAGCTTCAGATTTTTTAAATAATGAAAACCTTAAAATTAAGAGTGATATATTCTATTCTTTCATGATTGTTAATTAAATTTTTGTATCAGCTACCAGTACAGAATTCCATATAGAATGTCAGAAATTAATTATAATTTCAGATATGAAATTATTTTAACAAAAAGACACTCATTGAAGTAACAGTGAAGCAAAATCTGGATGAATGTGTGACTTTTCACATCATTCCAGGGTAGGAAAGACACTAATTATGACTAGTAAAATGAAAACTTCCAAAATTCCAACAATCTATTCATTACATCTTTAATTTGTTACATCCACTAAATGACACAGCTAAGTAATATGAAGTTATTTCTGTTAACCCAAGATGGTTGGCTGGTACAGATATTAAGGATGGAAAGAGAAAAGTAGAACACAGAGGGAACGAAGCAAAAGTCAAAAAACAATTTGGCTGCAAACTCCCTGGGTTTTCACTGTAACCACTGAAAATACTGAGTTTCCAAACAAAATACAGTTTTTGGTCACACAAATAAGGCCCTGTACAGAGTCTCCAATAAAGGCAAGTTACTTTGTGACTCGATTCTCCATCTAAGCTGGCAGTTGTCACGTGGCAGGTCCCATCTCCACGGCTGCTGGAGAGAAAGATCAAGTCACAGGGGAAGGTCTCGTCCTCCTTGACCATGACGATGTCCCCAACCTGCAAGACAGACAGACAGCACCATTAACTGAACCGTGCCTCTGTGCAGCGGGGCATTTTTTTTCCTTAAAGTGTCAGTTGATACTGACGGATGCCATTATGGTGTTTATTTATAGGAGGGTATGTGGATGCTAATGTGACTCTAGAGAAAGATCATTTCCCAGGCATTCTGCCCAAATGGAGGACAGACCAAGTGAGGTTTCAAAGTACCAATTTTAGATCCGTGAAGCATCAAAGTGCATTATGATTGAATATTTTGCAATGGAAACACAGACAAACATCTATAACAAGGTTATCTTTGATTCAGTCCAAGCAGGATGAATTCAAGTGTTTCATTAAACATGTCTGAGTGGAAATTATTACTGCAGGGAAGCATTGATCTAAAACCAGGTGTTCTATAAACCAGCTATGAGAGTTCTAAGAGCAGGGCAAACAACAGAACCAAGACACTGTCCAGATCACTCAATAATGACTAAGAACAAAGCAGAAGTGGCAATCACATTGCAAAAACTAAAGTAAAAATGAATCACAGAATATTTGTCATATGGATTCTTAAGTAAGATGCAAACACCACAGTTTCTGTATCATCACCAAAGAAAGCATCTAAACAACCTCACAGAAAGGCCCTTTTTCTCTGATCGTGACTTTAGACTGTGTGTCTGGAAGGTAAATGACCATTAAAACCCCACAAATCGGGATGATAGTGGGTTCGAAAACTTTCCAGTCACTTGGATGGTCTTGCTGTTACGTGCAAGGTACTCCCAGAATCAGGATATCACCATACTTCTGTCCATACAAGTGGGGTTTCCTGTTATACCCCCATTTATGGTCCCAGGTGAGTGTCTGGGAACTTAAAATTGGAGGATTATTCCCCAAATAGACTGTTGGGTTTAGTGAAATTCCTACCAGAATCCCAGCAAAGATTTTTATAGATATAGATAGGCTTATTCTAAAATTTATGTGGAAAGGTGCAGGCCTTAGAATAGCTACTACAATCTTGAACAAGAAGAATGAAGTAGGGGAGTGACTCTGATGATAGAAAGGCTTACTCTGCAGCAGCAGTAGTGCTGGTACTGGGGAGAGACCAATGGAACAGAACAGAGAACCCTGAAATTGACCCATACAAATACGCTTACTGACTTTTGACAACGGTACGAAAACAGTTCAATGGAGGAGGGATAGCCTTTCCAACAAACAGAAGAGCAATTGGACAGTTATAGGCAACAAACGAACCTCGCACCTTATATAAAAATTCAAACTGGATCATGAACTTATGTGAAACTATAAACCTTTTAGAAAAAAACATAGGAGGAAATCTTTGGGTTCTGGAAAGATAGTCAACATAATTAGCCATTACGAAAATGCAAATTTAAACCACACTAAACAATACCAGAATGACGAAAATGAAAAACAGTGCCAACACCAAATGCTGGTGAGAATGTAGAGAAACAATCGTTCATACATTTCCGATGGGAATATAAAATGGTACAGTGTTCTGAGAAATTGTTTGGCGAATTTTTTTAAAACTAAAAATGGATTTACTATATGACCCAGCAATTCAACTGTTGAGTTTTTATGCTAGGGAAATAGAAACTTTATTCACATAAAAACTCGTACACGAATGTTCACGGCAGCGTTATTCATAATAGCCCCAAACTAAAAAATACCTAAATGTCCTTCAGCTGATGAATGTAAGCAAATTCTGGTCTACTCCACACCATGGACTCACAAATAAAAAGAAGGAGCGGTACTGATGCACACAGCTGGGGACAAATCATGGGAATTAGACTGAGTGATAAAAATCCTAAAAGGTTTCATAATTCCATTTATGTAATGACATTCTTGTAACAACAAAATTAAAGATTTCTTTTCTGATAGCCCCGAGCACCCTCTGAAGGCCTGAGCCATTACGGCCATTGAAAGACAGTGCCTAGAGTTGCAAGGACAGCCTGATTTTTCTTCCTTGTCTCACATAGTCGATTTAGAATCCTCTAGTCAGAATAGGTTGGATACACAGCAGACATTACCCACAGGAGATCAAGGCATTAAATATTCAATTTTGTGCTAGTAGATACTGTTTGGTTCCATTTTTAAAGAAAAGAGGTCTGAAGGAGCCTGTTAACACGTGTGTGGGGTCTCCCAGCCCCTCACCTCCCTGACCCCGTGGCCAATAGGAAAATATCGCTGGTCTAGACTAACTGAGAGGAAGCTCATTCAGAAGTACTAAAACACCTGGACAATAAGATTTATAAAGCAAAAAAAAGGTTTAAAAATTTAAAAATACATATGATAGTGTGTCTAATACACATGATAACTGAAGCTAGGTTAACAAAGACAGATCCCATGCTGGTGACATGTTAACAGGCTCCCTGGAGGTCCGGGTGTCCTGGACCTGTCCTTCTCCCAAGACATCTATCAGTCCCCAGGCTGACAGGGTTACCCTTCTTCACGGCATCAGGGATGTGTCCGGAACCAGAGGCCCACTTTTCTGACACTGTACACAAGGGCTGGCAACACTCCCTTACTGCAACCTCCTTATGGCCCCACCATGATTTCTGGCCAGGAAAGCAGCCCAGGGAAACAGTAAAGCTGCCAGAAAGGAGGGAAGGTGTGGGAGGGGGGGCGGGAAGAGGTACCAGCAGGATGACAAGGACAAGAGGAAGCGACAGGGAGATGGTTAGGCTCCGTCCCTAGGCTCACAGCTAAACATTACTCCATTACTGTAAAAATCATTCTTATCATTTGTACACATATAGGTGCTTCTAAATGGCTAGTGTAGGTTTGAAGGTAATTCACTTAAATAATTTAAACACACATTTAAAGATAATAATAACACATCAGTTACACTTGATAATTCATTGGAAAAAAATTGAAATGCAACCTTCAGTTTCCATAAATTTCCAACTAGCAGAGTTTATATTAATGTAATTTTACCTTGTTCTAAAACAGGTTTGCTAAAATTGTTTAGAGCTTTCTGTCTTGACTAGTTAGTATAATCTCATAAACAGTCTGGTTGGGGTGCTGATAGGGGGGAGGTTGTCTGTAGGGACAGAACAGGAGGTATATGGGAAACTTCTATTCCTTCCGCTCAATGTTGCTGTAAGTCTAAACCTGCTCTAAAAATAAAATTTATTAAAACTTTAAAAGTAAATAAATAAAAATAAAAATAAAAGATAGTGTTAGGAGTTTGCCTGAAGTGAGAAGTATTTGAGGAAGAGGTTGGGCCTATATCCAATTAAAAAACAATTACAGACAATTGTTTTGCCAAAGAGAATAAAACTGTTACACTGCTTTTGTTCTGTAATTGTTACTGGTTTTAAGCCAGTTAAATGTGTCAGTTATTACTTACTCTCAGCTTTCGGCTCTGCTTCCGAACCAGCTTGCCATGCTGGATGAAATGAACAGGGCACTGGTTCATGGCATTGTCTGCTTTATGGCGTAGCCAGTCTTCATAGCCCTAAAAAATAAATTAAGAAAGAATCTCATGCAATGGAACAAGAGAACTGTGGAGGGTCCACCAGCTCTGAGCCGATCCTTCTGGACGTCGCTCTGATGGGCAGTGACTATGGGTAAAGCATTAGCAGCCTCAGCCTCTTGGACAAGCAAGGTGGCCAGGAGACTTGAAAACTCCGGTGTTCCCAGCCGCATGCATGAGAAGGGCTAACCATAGTAAAACTGCCCATGAGAAGGATTAGCCACAGCAAAACCAGAAGTCACCTTTTATTCTTCTTTTCCTAACACCCAGCACCTACCCACCGGCAAGTCCTGATGCTTTTCCCTCAATAGATCCTAAATCCTCCACTTCTCCATGTCCCCTGGCCCACCCTTCCGTGGGCTTCCAGAAGGCCAGATCTCCTTGTGTTCTCACACTTGAATTGAACAGGGACACAACTAGCCCTGCCACTGCTGGGAGCCCCAACTCCACACCTTTTATGGCGGCTTCTCAAACTTTCTGCTGTTAGGACATGTGCAGAACGGCCGTTCTCAAGTCCACTATGGTGACTACACCAAGCTGCTCACTGCCAGGGCCATGGCCTGGGGTCCTGGAGGGGCCAAGACCTGCTTATGGCCTGAGGTCTGGGGGAGGAGTCTTCTGGTTCCCCTTCCTCTGGACTCAGGCCCTCGCTTCAAACTGTTTCCCTGGTTTGAGTGTATCAGAGGGGACCCACTACCAGCACCCTGCTGGCCCACAGTGCACATGTATGTATGTGTATGTACATATATGTGCAGAATTTCTCTTGTTCAGCATTACCATCTCTAGGACCTACAAAAAGGCTTAGTACATAGCAGAAGCTCAATAAATATCTGTAGACTAAATAAAGGATATGAGTAAAGTGGGAAATTAGAAAAGAAAAATATTTTCTAACAATCTGCTTGGATTTTGTTCCACCCTATTTTTCTGGGTCTTCTGCCTGATCTTCTTTCCACTCTGCAACTCAGTGCAGGAGGAAATTTCGAAAACAAAATCAAGGCATAAATAAAAGAATCAAAAGCAACTTTTCAAAATTAGTTTTTACCTTTTATATTACAAAACAAATTATATTCTTTGTGGACAAAAAAATACATATACCACTACCAAAAAAAAAAAAAAGAAAGAAACTAAAAAGTCCTAATCCTATCACTTGATAAAAACTGTTAATATGTAAAATATCAACATATAACTATAATTATATACAAATATAATTCTAGTCCATGGGGGAGTATTTTTTCAACATTAAGATCGTACTGTACATACTACTTTGTACCCTTAAAATGTCATAGACATTTTTCCATGGTGATTTGGGATTGCTTAAAAGTTTTGTAGTTATAGATATACTTTGATAAACATCTTCACAATTGTATTTTTGTGTATGTCCATGATATACATTTAGTATAGATTGCTAAAAAGAAAATGTCTGAGTCAAAAGATAAACAAGGCTTTTAGGCTTTTAATATGAACTAATCAAAATTCCTCAAGAAACTTGTCACCAATTATATTTCTAATAGCTGATCTTAACTACCTCGAAAAGCACAAGACAGCCTCTCTCTCTCTCTCTCGCTCTCTCGCTCTCTCTCTCTATATATATACATATATATATCTTCTGACTATGATTTTTTATTGGATATGGCAGCCCAGATTCTTAGCAGAGTAAGGTGCTGATTCGCTTTGTGACACCCATGCAAACCTTACAGTTCCCCATGCACATGTGCATTTTATTAACTGTAACAAACATTGGAAGTTACCAATATTAGCTGTTCCTATGTCAACTCAGACACTGGCTCAAGCATTGGAAAAGCAGCCTGCTCTAATTCTCTAACAACTCTGCTAAATCCTTCTGGTCTTAAACAGACAGAATTTCAAATTTTTTTTTCAAATTTCAAATTCTTTCCTCAATAGGAGAAAACATATACTTTCCATCAAAGAGTATGGTGTTTTCTAAATTGATTAACACACCTTTAGAGCTGGGTTTCTTTGGATGTAAAAGTGCATCTGAGTTAAGGATCATGAATTACATCTTCTCTGTAATATTTCCCAGCACATGAAAGGGAAAATCAGATGCCTGAAGAGCTGTTTACATCTCCAGATGTGGCTACACATCTGTACCCATGAGCTGTCATGTGATGGAAATTTTCTGGAACTAGATAGTGGTGATGGCTGAAGCACTAAACTGGCTAAATGGATAGTGGAAATGACTGAGATGTATTCTTCTTACTGTTAGTCACTGGCTTTATTCATCAGAAAGAACGGAAAGAACAATTTTATCCACATTGAGTCAGGAGTGAGCATGCTGTATTATGAAGCCACATTGGAGACCCTCTGTAGGTAGCAAATCATTGCAGTTAAGATGGTTGAGGACAAAGGTTAAGCAACTCACCTAAAATCAGACAACATCTCTGGTTGATTCCATAGTTTCCTCCTCAAACTCACAGGGCACCAAATTAGCAAGTAAATTATATGATCTTTATTCTTTTAACCCAAGTATAAATCTAAAACAGTTACAAAAATGAATTTCTTGAACTTAGGTAAATTTTCTATGACCTAGCTAAAACAAACCAGATTGCTTTGGATAAGAGGCGACATCATATAACGAAGATAATGACCTTCTTCCTTTGTAAAATTCTTACCTGTTTGATAGCTGTGACGGTAATGACAAAGAACAGTGGAAGTCCACTCGTTACTGGACTTGTGGGTGTATCAATAATCAACTGAAATTAAAAGAGAATTGTGGAACCATTTTTAAAAACATATTAGTGACTTTAGACAGATTGGTTAGCCCTGTTACACCACCATCCAACATTTGCTTTTACTTATTTTAAATTGCTTTATTGTTACCCCACTTTATCTCACCATTAGAGATAAATTAAATAAAAAGTAAATCACCCAATTTCACTATGAAGCTGAGGGCGGTTCTCTTTTATTAAGGGACATGTGTAAGGAAATGATACTGGCAGTGGCAAAGACACAAGTCTAATACCAGAATACATTTATTCAATTTACTACTCTTCTCTGGTACCACACTTTAATTACATCATTTGGTCAACTTAATGTTGGGGAAAATTTGAAAGTCTTTCAACTGTATTTTGTAAAATGGAAAAAAAATTAGATTGTTATTCTTAAAACACAGCTGACATATTGTTCCCTAATTCATCCCTCACTGTGGTATTCATTCACTCACTCTCTCTTTTTTTTTTTTCTCTTCCTCTTTTTCTTAATGTTTTCTCTGGTTCGTCTACGCATACTTAGGAAGAAGAAAAGAGCAATAATGTTTAGCTTGGCTGATGAATTTTTCCTAAAAATTAGGCAGCTCCTGATCTCCCCTCTAGTGCTGGCAGGTGGCCAGAACCAACTCAAAAGCAGAGTGCTCATGTGTATGTTTTAGCTTATAGGTCTCTCTGAACCAGTACACTTGCCCTGAAGGAAATAAAAGAAGGAACTATAGATAAGGAGCACCAAGTCCTTGTTCCTTCTTACTAGCAAACCATAGTTAATCACTTGAGAATAAAGTGTCACCTATTTAGATTTACATTTGAGGTGATAGAAAAAAGATGACCAGCCTTACCTGTACCAGAAATATGATAAGAAAATAAAAGTTGGCTATTCTTCTGAATTGTTCAAATAAGTTCTTGGGTATAAAGTTCCAAAATGTGTACTATATAAAAAAAAAAACAAAAAGGTGTCATTTTGATCACAATTTACTTTTTATGTTATTCTACTGCATGATCTCAAAGTATAAAATGTTCAGTTTTAGATATAGAACTCATAATTCAAAATTTAAAGTGTTTATAGACATTTTATCAATTTGTTGACCACAAAGACAAACTTCTAACAGAGAACGTGTACCTCAAAAGTAGCATATGTGTTACCAAATTTCAGATAATTCAAGGTAGTACCTTAATAGTTTTATTATTAAAATGTCTTTCATAAAATATAAACCTAAGATTGTTAACTCAAAAAATATATATTTAGCATTTTTCCTTGGTTGTAATTTCTTTGTAAGTTGTGTGTGTGTGTGTGTGTGTGTGTGTGTGTGTGTGTGTGTGACAGTGTGACTAGATGGTGACAGAAAGCTAAAACAGAAGTCAATGTTACCAGATGGTCTTGATTCAGTCTGGAGCCGGTTCCTACATAGGGAAGTTTCTGTGTCAGCACCACACACACGAGAGGGAGAGGGGATGGAGAGGTAAGCAGGGAAAATGGTTCTGTCGCCACTTATTCTCCAAACTTTTCATTTTTGCCTCAGAAAGACAGTTTTCTTAACTTCTGTGTTAAAAACAACAATGCCCCAGATGTCATGGATCTGCAGTAAACACTGAGCTTAGAAATTAGTTTTAAAATTCTATCTGAAAGCTTTTGACTTTAATGAGGACAGTCTGCTGAAGAGTAAGAACATGCTCTGCCCAGTCTATAAGGTGACCCTAGCCTTCTTGCTGTAAAATGAATGGTACCTACATCAGCTCCTATCAGGGGAGTGTGCTGGTATCGCAGCTCTAGACAGTAGTTATCAAGCTCTCATACCAAGAGCTCCTTTAGTGCCAGAATCTCAAACACAAGTTATTGAAAGATGAATATAATACCTAAAGCCTGGCATGGTCTTGAAGTAATCAACATATTCTGAATCTGGTTTTTACATCTATTTCACAGTACATCACAGTTAAAAAGTAAATAAACTTCTTTGCCTTAAGTTTCCAACTATTTAGAGAGTATACAGGGAATTTCCATTTTATATTCTAATTTATATTCGCAAGTTCATAACGAAGTTCCTCAATGAGCAGAAAAACAAAGGAGTGGTTCCCCGCCATCTCCTGACAACTATGGGCATACTTTCAGTTCTCTTTTCAGGGTGGCCCCATAAATTACCTTTAAAAATCTCTAAATAAAAAATAAATTAATTAATTAGTTAATATTTTTTCAAGTATAAATTGATAGTTTTGAAATAATCAAGGGGATGTGAAGTACACTGTACTTAGTACAGCATAGAAAATATAGTCAATAATATTGTAATAACTATGTATGGTAGCAGGTGGGTACTAGACTAATGGGAAGGGAGGGCTCAATTCATTAATTATATAAATGTCTAATGACTATGCTGTAAAAGGTACTTCAAATTCCAACTTATTTAAAATTGATTTATACTTAAATACCTTTTATTCGATGGTAATGGTTGCTTCTAGAGAAATGAAGAATTAAGAGGAAAAAACCAGGTCTCTAGAGGTTTAGAAAAAAAATTAATTTCCTAGGTCCCAAATTTACCCCACCGTACCCATCTAAACACCTTTATCTTCCATATATCATTTCATACCAATCCTTTATGGAATATATGCTTTGGAAATATCTTCTCTTAGTGACTTGTCTTTTAATTCTCTTAACAGTATCTTTTGAAGAGCAGAAATTTTTAAATTAAAAAAGTTCAACTTATTAGTTTTACCTTTCACGGTTAGTGTTATTGGTGTCGTATCAGAATACTCATTATCCAACCAAGGTCACCTAGATTTTCTCCTATGCTATCATCTAGGACATTTACAGTTGTGCACTTTACATTTAGGTATATGATCAATCCATTTATAGTTAATTTTGTGAAAAGTGTAAGATCAGTGTCTAGATTCTTTTTTTTTTTTTTTTTGAGTCCTAATCTTAGGTGTAATGAAGGTCATGTACAAAATAACTTTTTATATATGTATGCAACTTAACAATAAATCTGTCCTACCTGACATAACGTGAAAATGAAGAGTAAACTTTGCCACAATTACATAGCTAACTGCATTCCCTATGCCGTGCTCCCCATCCCTGTGGCAATCTACCGACTACTAATTTGTGCTTCTTTAACCCTTTATCTCATTCTCCCAAACTCACCCCCAATCCTCTGGCCATCATCAGATTGTCCTCTATATTTGTGAGTCTGTTTTTGATTAGTTTGTTTTTTTGTTCCTTAGATTCTGCATGTAAGTGAAATCATATGGTATTTATCTTTCTTTGTCTGACATTTCACTCAGCATAACAACCTCTAGGTCCAACCATGTCTTTGCAAATGGAAAGATTTCATTTTTTTAATGTCTGAGTAATATTTCATTGTATATATGAACCATAACTTCTTTATCCAGTCATCTGTTGATGGGTATTTAGATTGCTTCCATATCTTGGCTATTGTAAATTGTGCTGCCATGAACATAGGTGTGCATAGATCTTTACAGATTATTGTTTTGGTTTTCTTTGGATAAATACCCAGAAGTGCAATTGCTGAGTCAAAAGGTATTTCCATTTTAAATTTTTTGAGAAATCTCCAGACTGTTTTCCATAGCGGCTGTACCAATTTACAATCCCACCAACAATGTGTGAGGGTTCCCTTTTCTCCACATCCTTGCCAACATTTGTTCTTTGATTTATTGATGATAGCCATTCTGACAGGTGTGAGGTGATATCTCATTGTGGTTTTAATTTGCATTTCTCTGATAATTAGTGCTCTTGAGCAAGTGTTCGGGTCTTCTGCTCATTTTTTAATTAGATTGTTTTTTTGTTGTTGAGTTTGACAAATTCTTTATATATTTTGGATATTAATCTCTTACCAGATGTATCATAAGCAAATATCTTCACCCATTCAGTCAGTTGTCTTCATTTTGTTGATGGTTTCTTTTGCTGTGCAAAAACTTTTTAGTTTGTTGTAATGCCATTTGTTTATTTTTTTTCTTTTGTTTCCTTTGTCTGAGAAGATATATCTGAAAGAAGTTACTAGTAGCAACATCAGAGAGATTACTGCCTATGTTTTCTTCTAGAAGTTTTATGGTTTCGGGTCTTACATTTAAGTCTTTAATCCATTTTGAGTCTATTCTTGTATAAGGTATAAAAAGGTGGTCCAGTTTCTTTTCTTTTCTTTTTCTTTTTTGCATGTATCTGTCCAATTTTCCTAGCACCATTTATTGAAGAGACTGTCTTTACCCCATTTTATATTTTTGCCTCTTTTGTCATATATTAAGTGAGCGTATAGGCGTGAATTTATTTCTGGGCTCTATATTCTATTCATTTGATCAATGTGTCTGTTTTATGCCAGTACCATTCTGTTTTGATTACTGTACCCTTGTAGTATAGTTTGATATCAGGTGGTATGACACCTCCAATTTTGTTCTTTTTTTCTTTCTTTTTTTTGCATGTGGACGTATATTGCTCTTGCACCATTCGTAGAAAGCCTTTCATTTCTCCATTGCATTGTTTTTGTTCCTTTGTCAAAAATCAGTTGACTATATTTATGTGGATCTATGTCTGGGCTCTTTATTCTGTTCCATTGATCTATTTGTCTGTTTTTTTCACTGATACTACACTGTCTTCATTACTATAACTTTATAGAAAATATGAAGTGGGATAGTGTCAGTCCTCCAACTATGTTATTCAATATTGCGATGGGTTCTGGGTTTTTTTTCATCTCCATATAAACTTTAGAATCAGTTTGTTGATATCTACAAAATAACTTGATGGGATTTTGATTAGGATTGTGTTGAATCTATAGATTAACTTGGAAAGAACTGACATCCTAACAACATTGAGTCTTCTCATCCATGAACATAGAATATTTCTCCATTTACTTAAAACTTCTTTGATTTCTTTCAACAAAGTTGTATAGCTTTCCTCATATAGCTCTTGTACATATTTTGTAGATTTACACTTAAGTATGAGTAAGTATATATTGCTTTTCTTTTTGGTGCTAATGTAAATGGTGCTGTATTTTTAATTTTGAATTCTGGTCTGCCAGGGAACCAGCACAAATCTGGAATTTAAAATCAGTTAAATGGTTTCTTTATTCTAATCAGGCATGGAAGACCCATGCTGCAGCTTTGACAGTAAGCTTTGTAATTTCCACAGCTTACTGTCATTTTTCCTTGAACTGGTACACTGATTGTTAATGTGGTCAAAAGAGGGTTATTAATTACTGATGATGTATAATAAGAAAATTGAAAACCCAGTGAGATACTTTAAATATTCATGACTGCACTGATATACCAGTAACATACGGATAAAGTACAATAAAATAATCATTTTATTACATGTATAAGAGGTGGAAAACTGATAATAGTGGGCCAATTGTACATTTATCATCTTTGTTAAAGGGTAATGATCTAAATATTTGCTTAGACATGTGGGTCATAATGTAATATAATGCTTTGTGTATTACAAAGTTTACTGTAATACTCTGACCTATATTCAGCTATGAAGTCCTACCTTCTGCTGTGATACAATCAGTAGAACGATACTTTATACTGGAAATCCTAATATTGAGCCACAGGCATGGAATAAACTGGGTTTTTTTTCTTGCTATAAGGAAACTGAGAAGTCTGAGTCAACCAGAAAATCTCTCTTTACTATAACAGATATTTTAGGGAATGGCGAATTATACAAGACAATTAAACTATTCCTGGCATTTCTCTCACAACACAAAAAATTTCATACCTGAAGTCTTTGCATTTGTTCTGTGTATTGTTAGCCCTGCAATGAGAACATCTCATGAGCATCTGAGCTCAGTTTTGCTTCCTCTCTTCTCCTCTGTGTATAAGTCACCTCTGGTTCTGGGTTACTTGCCGGGAGTATGGCTCCTCACAAAGAAGAAAGCAGTCTCACTTGGTCTATCTTTAGTCATGTGGAGAAAGAAAACACCCTAAGAAAAAAGCCCTGGGCGCTGTTCTTCTTTGCCAGCTGCCAGAAAGTAATACGAGAGCATCTGGAAATTTCCCTGAGGCCTCGACTATTATGTACCTGAAATTGGGTCTAGCACCACAGCTGTGAGTGGGACAGACCTAAAAACGTGCTGGAGGTTGGTCACCGAACTGCGGAAGGCAATCAACTCACACGGAGTAGAAGTTTCTCTGTCACTTATGATTGAGAGATGAGGGTGTAAAAAATAGAAAATTATGCCCAAATTCTGAATTATTGATATAAGAAAGGAATGAGCATCACGATGGGCTGGTAAGAGAGGTAGTGCTGGCACCGCAGAGGGAGCGCTGGGCTCGGGGTCAGACGTGTGGCTAAGAATCGGCTCATTCACTTTGTTCTGAGGCTTGGTGTCTTCAGGCATAGGCTGGGTTTAATAAGTAATAGTGGCCTCATGGGGTTGTTGTTGGGCTTAAATGACATGATAAACTTGAAAGTCATTAAGAACACCGCCCGTATCCAATTGGTAGAGGTCATTTTCCCTAAACAATAATCAAAAGTAATTCAGCTTTCTCGAATGTATGGAGTGACAGTACAGTTTGAGATAACTATTTAATTTTGTAGCACCCTGGGGCAGAGCTGGAAGCCACATGAAGTTTGTGCCCAAAAGTATAATTTTTTTGTGAAACTGACGAAGCAGAGCACCTTTGTTCTCGGATCTGCCAGCAGTGGTGAGCTCAAGCAGGCCCTGGGTGGGGAGTTCTGCATGTGGTCAGAGGAAAGGAAGAGGGTCAAGCTACGAATAGTGTCTTGGTTTTCCTTCTTCTGCCAGACACCTGCCTTGTGTGTCTCCCCGCAAAAGGAAACGGAATTTGCATCAATCGCTGATCACCAATAATTGAGCTTCTGTGGCATAGGTCAGAAGTGTAACATAATTAGATTAATTAGCCTTTTCAATCCCTTTGTATAAATATGTACATGACAAATGCTTTCACAACCCTTTGATTTAATAAAATCAGACTCACTGAGAATAGGCTTCTAAGTCTTAGTTAGCAGTCTTTTCCTTTAAGGTAGAAATAAAAGTTTTCTTCCCAAGAAAACATAGCTACATTACCATAAACATAGTCTTCAAACCGGCTTGTAAATTTGTTTCACAATTTAAATTGTATTTTTCATATGTCCTGATCTGTTTTTAAACGAAAACAAAAACACGCTCTAGGTTTCCACTCCAGTTGATCTAAATCAATGCCACTGTCCACTGGCTTAGATTCTAAGTCCTCATATTTCTGAGGGCCTCTTCCAAACTGAATTTGGTGAGCAATAGAGGTGATGCTGTGCATCATTTTTCCTTGAACTGGTATCAAGCCATTAATCTCACCTCTTTGAGGAATAAAGATCATTCTCTACACAGATGAATTTGAGAGCACAGTCCCCTCTCCACTCTGAGCTGAGATGAAGTAGATGAGCACTTTACCCGACACTCAATCTCTCTTTTGTGGGGACAGCTTGACCCAACTCCTGAAGAAGTATTGACTTAACTCTCTTAGTTCCTACTCTAGAGCCTCCTCATATAAAAGAGTTTTCCTGAGAAGAAACGGTTTCAAAAAGGCCCCCAGGAACCTGCAAGTCCGTATCCAAACCCATTGTTACAACCTCCCCAGCACAGAGTTTCCTTTGACAAAAGCCAAGGAGGCTCTGGGGCTCCAGTTCACGTAGGGCAGCTGGGGACAGGAAGGTGCCCCCACAGGGAGAGGAACAAAAGTCCAGACAAAGGAAGAGAAAAGATGGTGAGTTGTAGAGCAAGGAGGGAAGACAAGGCATCTCAAAAACAGTGTTGGCTATTGGCTGTGGGATTACTGAAAGAAAAATAGGGAAATAATTCGCTCTAAAACTTGAATCAGGTAGCACAGCGGTCAGGAAGGGGATTTAGATATTACTACTTTCATTGCTGTCTACTGAAATGTTGACAGAGGCTTTTAGAATAAATAAAGTATCCCTCAATTTCCAGCTATATTCTATCAAATGCATCAAGAAGGCCTTTTGACACCTCCAATGAACCAGGTGTTTTGAGTTTCAGAAATTTCCTCCGTGAAGCCTTGTAAAGCACTTTCCATATCTATAGGAAGGTACTGGGGGCTGGGACTTTCAAGGCTGAGTTTGTCCCTGGAGGGAGAAACCAGCTGCACAGGGATTTGTATCGGTGGCTGAAGTGCCTTTGACAAACGTCCTACCCAGTTTAGATGTTGTGCAGTGTAGGGAGGTTTCACGTCCCATCAGCTGTATCCCGGACTACCGTCCTGACAAGTACACGCGTGGCACCCCATTTTAATGTTTTGCAGTGCACTTCCTGTTTTTTGATGCCTTTGTACTGCACAGGACTAGATTTTTAAGAAATGTTTTTGACAGAAACAAACTCACAGATACAGAGAACAAATTGATGGCTGCCAGATGGGAAGGAGGTTGCGGGGTGGGGATGGATGAAAAAGGTGAAGGGATTAAGAAGTACAAATTGCCAGTTATAAAAATAATCACAGAGATGTAGAGTACAGCATAGGGAATATAGTCAATAATATTGTAATAACTATGTATAGTGTCAGATGGGTACTAGACTTGTCGAGGTGGTCACTTTATAAGTTATATACATGTCTAATTACTGTGTTGCGCTCCTGAAACTAATATAATACTATATGTTAACTGTAGTTGAAAAATAAAAAAAATTTTTAAATATTTAAAAAAAATGTTTTGAAGATTTTTTTCTTTTTAGCCACACTAGTGGGTTGAAAGAATACATAGTTGCATAGAAATCACCTTTAGTGAGCTCTAATTAAGACTGTATAAAATTTATAAATGTCACTACTGGAAAGGCCTGTGTTTTAGATATGTCATTCCTCCTCATTTTATTTCTCCTTTCATTTATCACATCTGGGTAACCACATACTCTATTTATTTGGTTGAGATTTTGTTTATGAGCAATTTACTTACCCACATTGCGTTTTTGGCAATTAAAGCAGTTATTATTATTATTTTACATTACAATTTTAAATAAAATAATTCCACTTAAAAACTGCCTTAAAGAGCAAAGCTTTTTTGTTCTCAAATATTCTTAACAAACACGGGGCACTCTTCGATCGCTCATACAAAAATGAAGTAGGTCTACCACACACACTGATCTACCCCGGACACTCATGTGTGAATTAAGTAAGTCTATCACAGATCTACACCTCTAGTGAAGCCAGGAATAGTGGGTGCCTTCATGGGCACATGCGTGCAGGCACCCAAAGGGAAAGTTCTCATAATCTCTAAAGCTACCATTTACCTGTTTTATCAAAGCCAGCTAGTAAATTTTCCACCCTGTTCTCAAGGCCCATTTACCAGGTGATTCTCTAAATGTGTAAAATATTCACACTCTGCATTCCCACTCTCCAGTCAATGAAAACAAGGTGCATCGTTGAAACGATGACATTCTAATCACATTTCTTCCTCTCTGCATTTATTGCACCTAATTGACTCTGACATGTGCGCAGTGTTTTTGTTTACACAGACTCTTTTCACTGGTGACATCTAGCATGTCTCTATTTTATAGATAAGGAAACTCCAGCCTGGGGTGGTTCATGACTGGCACATGGCCAGACAGCAAATAAATAAGTGACAGTAGTAGGATTTGAATGTCTTAGACTTCAGTTTCAACACTATGTCCATGATATAATTAAAAGAGAAGTGAAGAAAATGTGCAGTGACATCTTGGCTAGTCTGAACAGTGTTACGGGGACAACCGGAGGGGTAATGACTGCACAAGCCCCATGTAAATTGTAACCACAGTCCTTAGTTGAGAGTAAAGAGCAGCTGTGACACTAGTTCTAGGAGCGGTGTTGCTAACTGCTGTCATAAAGTTCCCATGCTCCCCAAAGGAGTTCTGTTAGGAAATTAATAAACTCTCAGACAGAAGGTTACCTTGGAGGAGACTATTCTGTTGTCTGGGTACCTCTGTGGAATGTAGGCCTCAGCACCTGGCGGGGGCTCCCTGTGCCCCACGTAGATGGTCCGACTGTCCACCCAATTCTCTTCTCCAGCACACTGTGGAAAACAGAGTGGTGTTAATCCAAATGCCTCAGACTCTGGGTATGAAAGCTCTTCCTTGAAGTGTTGGCTTTAACACTTGTTCACATCAACAGAAATCTGTGCTGCCAACTTAGAGGATTGTGCAGGGCCACAGGGAAGAGCTGGGCCCCGCCTCCCAAGGCCAGAGTTGCCCTGATCTTATTCAGCCTTCAAACCCCTGCCCTCTCCATGGAAATGGTCTGAGCGGGCTGCCTGTGCTCCCAGTGAGAGTGGAGGGGTAGCTTTGAAGAGCTGATTGTCAGAGGAAATAACATAGTGTGAGTTCATATAAAAAACAGAAAGCAACAGCAAAACCTTCAGACTTCCAAGAGAGAAAAGACAATGATGGCTGGAAATCTGGGGAAAGGTCTTCAGTGAAAGAAGAGAGTAAAACCTCGGGTTCAGAGTAGAAGAACTATTCAATCATTTTAGGTATCTTTATCAATAAGGCTTTCCTAGAAAGAGAGAAGACCAGAGTCTGACTCATCTTTGTATTACTCAGAGTGGTGTATGCATGAGGCATAAAGTAAATATCATCTGAGTAAAAGGATCTTTTAAAAATACTCAACCAGACGGTATGCTGTCAGCACCGAAGTGCCTAAGACACTATAGCTACTGATGAGAGACTAAAATGCTTGCATAGCAGCCCCAGCATGGGGTCCCAGCCCTACCCCCTGAGACCAGCAGCTCCGGCATGTTGTCCTGAGCTTCCCTCAGACTAACAGCGTCCTGGACACCACATCTCAATTCCTGTAAAGGAACACTGAAGATATCGGCTTGTCTGGGGTACAGTAAACAATGCTGAAAAGGAGATGGAAACCTTAGTTGAAGAGAAAGGCAGTGTGATGGAACAGGAAGGATGGATGGGCCTCAGAGCCAAAATCTGGCTCAGTTGTCGCTGAGACACTCATGAGCCTCAGGCAAGCTGACATTTCTGAACTTTAACTTCATCATCCACAAGGGCAGCGACAGCACTTTACTCAGAACTGTTGAGAATAAACTGAGGCAACAAAACGTATGGCAATGCTCCCAGCCTGGTACAGCTTCCTTCTGCCATCTATCGCTGTGTCCATCTTTGTGGCTTCATCGGACCCTCATTTTTTGAAGCCAAATAGACAGGAGTAATGAGCAATCCAAGATTCTATTGTTCGAGGTTATTATAAGTCTCATATTCCTTTTTTTTTTTTTGCTTATACTATCATCGCCTTTGCTCATCTACCAGCTTCTTGAGGGATAAAAAGACTTTTCAAGTGTCTGCTACCACCACCTCGTCCTCCCCGCCAGCACATTATCCACAGTAGCTGAATGTTTGCACATTTCCTACATATCATCTTGTTAGGGCCTAGCTTTGCAGGACAGTCTAAACAAACTAAAGAATAAAGAGCAAACCGGTCTCTGTAACTCCACCCATGTTTCAGAGCTGCTCAGCAGGGGCACGGGAAATGGCACAAAATCCTTGAGACAGAACAGGCACAGCCACTGCCTGCCTCACTCTACACAAACCAGTGCTTCTTCCTTGGCATGAACTTGGCATTTGGCTCCCTCCAAGGAGCCTGCTGTTCTGTAGTAACAAAGTGATGCTGAAGGCCAGACTCGGTTCCCCAGCAAGCATGAGCCCTCCCTCCTCGGAGCCGTCTCACTACCCCATGCCCGTCCCTGCTGCCTTCCCATTCTGGGTGAAGCCACCAGTAAGGAATGTTGACTTAAAAAAAAAAAACCTGTGTAAGAGCTTCATAAATAAATCTCTGGACACGAAAGTTAAGAAAATAGAAAAATTCCCTGACTTCCCTTTATTTCTCAGAACATAGCCAAACATGTGCTTCTCATTCCTGTGGATTCAGGAAGTTACATTGAAAAAGAACATATAATAAACAAACCAGAAAAAAAGCATAAAACATAAAATTTAATACAAAAATAGAAAACCATTCTCTTAAACTTCAAAGACAGCAGTTGGCTTTCGGCCCTAGTACAGACTCTGGAAGCTCAAATCTTCCTCCAGGCCATGCTGTGGTGCCCACTGATGGGAGGGAGCTGGGGCTTCCTGGGCACTTCTGGCCAGAGACATAAAAGACTCCTGTCTCCAGGGAGGCAAAGTTAGAATGAATTTTATTAAGTCCAATTCATATTCTTGACACTGTCTAATAGATGCTTATTGCTTTTAATATAATTATTTAACACCTGAAAAATACTCAACAGTGCAGTGCCAATTTAAAGAATACAAGTCAGAACGCTACACCTGCCTGTGGGACAAAATCAGAAAATGAATTGAACATCAACATGCAATTGAATTTGCCTAAATCATCACAACGAAAAATTCATTTGGGAGTGAACCACATACTCACTACTAAATGAAAGCTAAACCCTGTATAAGGAAGCTGCCTCGATATTGCTCCCCGAGGATAAAAACAGAAGCAACAGCGCAGAAGTTTTTTTAAGGCTCCTCACTTCTACTCACAGGTTATATAACTCAATGGACTGAAATGTCAATGAAGCTACATTTCTGTCTGACTTTGCTCACTGCTTAGTCCGCATAGCAGAGCCCAAGGAGTGACAGAGAAATTACACTTTCTGAGGTCATAAAATTACCAGGTGATCTTACACGGGCACTGGCAGGCAGGAAATGTCTTTGGGTTTGGATTAAGACCAAGGTGAGCTCTGTGTGTTGTTCTCTGCACAAATGTTTAATTCTAAGAAGGCTAAAATTAAATATCCAAAAGATGTAGAGAATACAACAAACAGGACCCCCCTGGAGAATGCCTGGTATAATCACCAAGGTTATAATTATGCCTACGCAGTCGTGTGTGTGTCCTGCTGCTGACTGGCTCTGTGACTATAGACAAGTGACTCAACATTTCTGTGTCAAATTTCATCAGCGATAATGTTAAGGGATTAGTCTAGATAAGCTTTATGATTCATCCAGCTCTAAGATTCTAGTCTTCTGTACACTTAGCAATGAATACAAATTTATTAGTCCCTATTAGGCAATTTCTTAAGCTAGCCAGTCTTAAACCAAATATCAGCCACACTGTCTGTCCACTGTCACACTGGGGTGCAGACAAAAAGGAAGTTTTGCCACACGGAGCCTTAAGAATGAAGATGTGGGTCGTCATGAAATGTCCCAAAGGCAAGGAGACACCAGTCTCTCTTTCTAGGTATTCGTTTTAGGTAGTATGGGTGACACTGCCCAACAGGCCCAGTGTGACTTCTGCTCCGGATGGTTAGAGATGTTCGTCAGCAACACAGTGCTGAAACCAGGCACAGAATGGCCTTCCTCAGCTCGCAGGCATCCTAGTGACTCACTATAGCCAGTCGTCCAGAATGCATCAAGAAGGTGCCCGGCACACTCCCCGGGAGGCTGGCATCAGGTTCCAAGCCAAACTACAAATCTGAGCTATGGAAATGGGGCTGAGCACTCGATTGCCTCTAATATTCAAATTTACCTATCACCACACCTGAGTTGTTGTTCCCAGGGAGGGTGGTGGAGAGCTTCCCATGGAAAACTGGGATGACCAAACTGCCCTTGGCTTGTGAGGAACTCACGAGCACCGAGAAGCCACTACTGCCTGGTGAGTTGCCAAACTGCCAGATTGAACATGCTCTGAGGAGGGAAGACGAGAACCTAAGGAGTCTTTCGTCTTCTTATTTTTACACAAATAAAATTGTCACATACAGAAACAAGGGGGGGAAACACCAAAAAACAAAACAAACAAACAAAAAACACCAAACAAAAAAAAAAACGCCCCAAAACAACAACAATGCTTGACTGAGAAAAAATGTACCATCGACAAGACTGTCAGAGAGAGGGGTGGTCCAGGTGGGTACTGTGTTCTAGAAAGAATGCGAGAATGAGAGAAGAACCACAAATAAGGAAGCCTCTTCAAGCAGTGAGTGAGACCAGGAATGGGAAGCGGACCCCATATGTGTGCTGTGGGGCTTAGCTCTTATAATCCCAGAAATGCCAATGAATAAATAAAGATTGCTAACAATGCCGCCACCTGGAAGTACTGAAGCAAATTAATACAGGTACACAAATGTAAAAGTACCCAACAGTTTTGTCCTGATGAGCTAGAAATAAAAACTTCCACTTTTGTTCTGTAGTGTGGGAAACACAACAAACAAATAAGATCATTTTACTAACATATGCAGTATATTTATAACCAATCTGAAAAGATATTTGGTAGAGGGTATAGTTTACTTTGGCAAATTACATATAACTAATGAATTTTTAAAATCTTACTCATTGTATAAACGGATTCTTTTAAATAGAAATGGTATATTAAATCCAAAACATACGTGGATGTGACATTTGTCAACAGCTTATGTTAACACAACAAACCGTCCTTCCTCTTCTCCCGATCTTGATGAAACAATCAACCCTGAAATGGTTAAAATTAAAGTGCGTACTCAGGAAATGTGGCACCACATAGGACGGCCATGGCAGCCACCTTTCCAGAACAAGGGAGGATAGCCACAATTCCATAAAACGGGAGCCATGGAGAAAATGTCACTGTAAATCACGCTGGCACAGCTATCTGAATATCCTTCTTGCCTCCTTCCCTTAATTCTTTTTTCTAAAGATATTTTTGACATTAGGGGTTGATCCATTGCTGCCTGAAAAACAGCCTTTCTGACAGGTAGGGTGCGTGTGCTGGTGGCTGAGGAAGCGTTCAGAGCCCAAGGGGAGCATTAACTGTGGGGGAATGTTCGCTAACCCTCCCTGCATTCCTCTCTGTTCAAGTGACACTCAGGCTCAAAAGATCTACGGTGCAATGCTCCAGTTTGTGCTGAAGCGTTCGGTTAAATATTAATTCCTGCTCTCCCAAACCTCTGAAGCTGGGGCTTGGAACTGCTCACCCTCCAAATCACTTGACTGATTTTCTCTCTTTAAATAGACTTTGGTATGACCTGCCACTTGACAGAGAGTAATACCGAACCAAGAACCACCACCAAGGAGGCCTGGGTCATAGCAGGAAAAT